ACTATTTGACACGATTTCTACACTTCAGTTAAGAGCTTGGTGTATGTGTTTGAGCCGGACTCTCATTCTGCCCCTTAAGTTCACATATAAAGAAGTATATTATGAAAGCAAAAGAATAGCAACATGAGCTAGTCTTGCAAAACATTTTTTCATAATTTCTGTTATTAAAATCTTTACCTCCTGGTACTAAAGCAGGAGGCAATATTGGAAGGATTAATGGATTTTTACTGCATTTCGAAGTAATAGTTCTGTAATGAAAATAATACTAGAACATTAACATGGTAGAATTCATAATCTAACATTATTGCTGCAAACCTGCAAAAACAGCAGATAACAATTAGCTGCTAGCACTTGGAGCATGACAGCAAAAAACAGACAAAATGAAAAAAGTATGGGGAACAAAATGGAAGTGCTCTGGCAACAATTTCATTTCCTTGATTGGTTAGTATGGTGGTCAAAATTACCTCAGACCCTAATTTAACAGACAAGCCAAATTTCCTCAAACCTTAAGTTAACAGTGATTTATGTGAGGCTGCTGTTAACAAATGATCATTTGAATCATACACAGTAAATGACTTATTCTAATTCACACAGAAAAGGAGAAATATATGCCTAAATTCTATTCATCTATTTTCTAGTGAGAGATTATCTGATGATGTAACATGACATCATGTCATATAATGAAACTTCTTCATGATAACAACCATTTAGAATGCCATATTTTAGCACATTTCATGTGGTCCTTATGCCACAAAACATGCATTTTCAACTTGTGGACATGGAAACTGTCATGTTCTTCACTTCTTCCACAGTTCAACTCTTCCATGCTATTTGGTATTGACACGATAAGTGATAGCCTGAAGAGATTTTGACAGAGAACCCCCTGAAGGGATGTGCTGAACATAATACACCTCAGCACCTCTCCCACTATTGATGGCTATTGTCACTAGGCTACAGGCAACATGAATCTCAGTTAATCGGGTTAGGAATGACTGTAAACAAAAGAAGCCATGGAAAATAAATCTATGTTATGGAAGTCGGCACAGGATTCTTGTGCGACAAATGCAGTGCCTAGTTGAGAAAGAAAACTAAATCCACTATATATATATATATATATATATATATATATATATGTATGTATCGCTACATACATATTTATTGTTATTTAACCCTGCAGAGTTAAGTAAAGAATCACTTTATAAAAGACTGTCCATAAGAAATTAGATACTTTAGACAGGAGCACTTTTAGGCACTTAAAAGACTCAAAGCACAGGCCCATGTCACAAATTTGCACAAAGTTTATACATGCTCATCTGTGTGTAGACTGCTGAGCAAATTAAAATGGATCATAGAATTATAGAACTGTAGAGTTAGAAGAGATCCCAAGGGTCATCTAGTCTAGGAATCTCAACTAAAGCATCCATGACAGATCCTCTGCTTACCAGCTGCCATATAAGCAAGGTTTTAAAGATTAAAATTTAAAATAAGAGGCAATGTGGAAATCTGTAGCCCTGGGCAAGAGGCCCAGGCCTTATCCATCATTTCCTCCCGGGGCAACCCCCTAGCAATGCACCTGTAGTATAATAAAAGGGAAAGAGTAGATATTTTAATTTAATATACAAATTTAGATTTTCTCATACAGAACCATGTGACCCTTCCTGAACAGGACATACTGTACACCATAAAAAGGAGACCAACCCTGCAATACTACATGCTTACTAAGAAGTAAATTGCTCAGAGGTATATAAATTTTGTGAATATTAATAAATAAACATCCAGTGAGATTTACACCCAGGTAAGTGTACATAGGATTGCAGCCTAAAGTTTTTTAGAGTGTTGATAGCCATGTAGCCTTCATTTATTTATTTTAAAATATCCATAGGCCATTTTTCTTGACAAAGTTTGTTGAAGTTTCACAACAATAAGAAAATAAAAACAGAATACAGTGGTACCTCAGGTTACATATGCTTCAGGTTACATATGCTTCAGGTTACATACTGCACTAACCCAGAAATAGTACCTCGGGTTAAGAACTTTGCTTCAGGATGAGAACAGAAATCGTGCTCCGGCAGCGCAGCAGCAGCAGGAGGCCCCATTAGCTAAAGTGGTGCTTCAGGTTAAGAACAGTTTCAGGTTAAGAACGGACCTCCGGAACGAATTAAGTACTTAACCCGAGGTACCACTGTATCAATAACAAAGTAATATTTCAGCCTGCATCCAAGAGCTGTACTGGCAGGAAGCTCTAAAGCATGGAGCCACCACAGAAAACATATTCTCTCTCTTCAACTCCCACCTCTCAGACTTAGGAGATGGATGACCAAAAGGGCTTCAGGCAGGATGGCAAAGGTGCATGTGACCCATCAGTTGGTTCAGCTCCAAATCATCTGTCCAGTAATAATTTTTCTAAAAGTCTATACAGAACTAAACCTTGAAAACTGCTCTGATGACTGACTTTGGAGGCCTTTTCCATGTTTTGTTTTTGTTTTAATAGCACAATTACTGTGCAGCTACTGAATGTTGTATTAGATCCCAACCTATTTCTTTAAGGTTATTTTTACTCATACTTTCATCATTACAATGTTTAACAGTTTTGGAAACTTTGTCTTTTCTGGTGTGTCCCTGAACAGTATTTTCAGATGCAAATTGGATTATGGATGGGTGCTTAAATATGTCCCGCCTTTCATTCCTAGCAGTACATGACGACACTACTGCTCATGTGCATTTTTGCCAATTCCTCTTTATATATTATTATTATTGTTGTTATTGTTATTGCATATTTATTTGTACCCCCACCCTTTTCCCTGACAGGAACTTAAGGCGGCTTACAGAAGAAAATATGAAAGAGCATGACACCAGTCCTTTCATTAAAAACAGTCAGTTCCCAAAAGCCTTTTGGAATAAGGTCTTCACCTGCCAGCAGAAGGACAACAAGGAGAGAGCCATTCTAACTTCTCTAGTATTTTATGACTCATACAATAGGCTATGCTTCTATTTGAAAGGAACCCCATTAGGTCTTCAGGTGCAGATTCTTCAAAACTACTGAAGCAGCTGTAGAAGTTTCACCCTTTTTTGAAAACCAAGCAAACCTAAAATATAGACCATTTGTGTTCACTATTATTAACCTTGAGTTTAGAGCCCCTGTCTTCCAAATATTGCAGCTTTAGAGTGCTGAGTCTCGTTTTCAAGCTCTTAATTTGACTTTCGGACAAAACTGAGTTTTTAATTTTCCGCCTCAGTAGTTCATTTGCTGGTACGGAGAAGAGAAATGGGCTTTGAAAACTCACCTTCAGTTTTTTAGATGATCAAAGAAGTGTGGCCCCTGCAACAAAATGTACAAGGTATTATTTGGGTGTGTGCACATGTATGTGTGTGTTTGAGTTATCCAAGCCTGTAGCTGAAAGGGCTGAAAAACAAAAATCAGAATTGCAAGGGGGAGTCCCTGATCTACTTTGGGGCTTGCCTTACAGTAGGTGCAACATTTATTTAAGGTTTTGTTTTTACATTTGAAAATGCAGCCAATTTTTATGCAAGTCAACAAAACACGGGACCTCCGTTGGTGATGGATTTGGCTGAGGAGGGTGCATAAAGGAGCAATTTAAGCAAATTGGCCTTTGCTGCAGCCTGAGAATGATAGTGGATTTTTGACTGGGAATCCCAATGGGCCTCAGCTCTTTCTCTGACCTACAATATCAATAATGGATTACATGGCAGGGTTGCTGTAGACTAATCTCTCTCAGTGTATCCCCTCAGCCTGCAATTGGCAGGGAAGTCTTATCCATAAGGGCATATGGGCAACTTGCCTCACCAAGTCAGGCTCCCCTACAGGCCCTCCCCCCGCAATATGGCACTTTATCTACTTCTACTCTTGAGGTTGCTCTGGCTATCAACCTTCTCCTTAGTTCAGAGTTTCCCAAAGTGGTCAATATTGACCCCCTGGGGTTGATGGGACTGTGCAGGGACTGAACAAAGATTTGGAGATTAAAAGGGAGTCAAAAGGACCTGGGGTAGAAAAGAAATTTGTGAGCTATAGTACAAAGAATTGAATTAAGAACTATGAGTCTTAGGACATGGGTATTTGCAGAGCATTCTCTCTCTTGCCAATGTATTTTATAAAATGATTCCACACTGCAACAGTATTCTCAGACCATGCTGCTTTCTTTTAAGAAAAGAAAGCTGTATATAGGTGCAGTTTCGCTTTTTAAACAATTATTTTTTTACAGTGTCAAAAGAATAATTCTAACATCCCTGCTTCCCTCCCTCAAAGATATAAAAGCAAGCTGCCTTTTTCAAGGAGCTTTTTAGAAAGCTTTGGAGCTAGGCTTCTGAACTGCAATCCCTGCCCCCACTCCTTGCTGCTTTACAAGGTTGCTATTTTAAGAAGTTCTCAAAACCATATTTCAAAAAATATGGGATTCTACTTAGTAATATTACAACAATTGCTTCCGGTGGTGCACCATCAATGATTGGCAGGTACAGTAGATTTTCAGCTTTTCTGAAGAAGAGTTCCTGATGTGCACACTGTACGTTGTTTCCTGCATAGACAGCATCTTTTTGCAAAAAAAAATAAAACCAAAACCTTCAGCAGAGAGCTTCACAAAGTTTTGAAAGTGCATATCAAATCAATCAACAAGATGTTTCTACATTTTTAGCTGTTCCTATATTATCTGTAAGCCACAGTAAGCACCTAACGGAGGAAAAGGCAGAGTATAAATAAATATATAACAATACATATATAATATTGAGAAACTAATTTCATTACAAAAATAAAAACTCATTGCACATTGATTCTGCATTAACCTACAGTGTGACCGTTTTGGTTCTCTCCATTTCTCTTTTTTTTCCAATCTGAAATTCAGTTCTCCACATTTCTACAGCAATTTGTAATTTAAAAAAAAAAAAATCCTCATGAAAATTCATCAGCATTTTAGTGCGAATTTCTCCAATTTTTGCACGAATTTTTGACTAATATGCACAGTTTTGCAAGCATTTCCCCCTAATAAAATGCTGTGTGTGTGTGTGTGTGTGTGTGTGAACACACACACGCACACACACACACACACACACACACACACACACAGATAGTTCGATCCCAGTATGGGACGGCTGAATACTTCTGCACTACAGAGTGTTGGACAAGATGAACTTCCGAGTCCCATCCAACTCTATGATTCTGTGATTCTATAAACATGATTTGGCTGGGGAGCTGCGTAGGAAATTTGGGAAGTATGGCAGTGTTTGGGTTTGTTAAATGTGGACTGAATTAAAATTATTTCCCACCCCTACCTCTAGTTTGCCCTGCTACATAGCAGGTGTTGTGCTGTTGTGCTGAAGGAAACATCTTCTTATCAAAGAAAAGTTAGCAGTAGTTCTGTAATGCTAACCAACCATTGCTACACCCAAAGCTTCTCAGACTAGGAGAAGAAAGAGAAGCTTAGCATAACATACTAAGGGAGTGTGTTCATCTGCGTCCTCAATTGCTGGAAACAAAATCAATGCCTCTCTCATCTTGCCCACTCCATAGATTCCAGGAGGCATATCATTCTGTTCCCTGTGCAGTATAAGCTTTATAAGCAATGCACATTTTATGGAATAGAGATAAGGATAATTGGCCACAATAGCACAGATTTGAGAAAATATAAATACATTATGCATCATGAAACATCATGAGCTTTGCACTACGTTAGAAGAGTCTATTTCTCCTGAAATATCTGCTGAGGTTTTGTTTCTGGCTTTATGAATAAAACCCTTTTGGGTTTGCAGGTTAATGCAGAGCTGGAAGAATCCCCAGTGAACTGGTCACTGAAGTATTCAAAATGTGATGCTGGTATCTGGAAGCAGAGATGAATACAGGAAAATTTTGTTTCCAGGCATATTGTAGAAATGTAATCTCAGAAGCAGAATCGCTGAGAAAATCAGCTGAAAATAAGTTGACCGTGAGCATTTTGTGAAAGGGTCACCTATAGCTTCTGACTTCAGTGGTCCAGAAGCAAGCAAACTGACCAGCAAGCTGTCTTCCTAATTGCCCTGCTTATCAGAATCCTTGGTTCAAAAACCACTTTATAGGAGTTAAGTCAGGCATTATCACTCCTCTGCCACTAAGAAATCCTGGGAAATGAGGTGATAATATGATCAGAGGCTACAGGTGACTGTTTTATCCTATGGTAACACATGCCACTGAGTAAACTCCTAGGCTATGCTACAGTTGGAAGAAACAGTGATTCAACCAAATATTTTTTGAAATGTACCCAGTAATACAAGGAGAAACTGTTTCATGAAATGGTCCCTCCTCTAATTTTCTTTCGCCAAATGACTCCTCAGCAACAAACTTCATTGAATTGGGACTTATTTCTGATTACACATGCATAGGACTGCATTGTTAATCTCTGAACCACACACACACACACACACACACACACACACACAAACAAATCATGGACACTTTTTAAATATTTGAAGTGTTCAAATAAAGCATCTTCATAGTTCATATATCAGATACATAGATATATTTACCTGAATGTCTTTCAAAAAGCCAAACAGCAAGCATGGCCAATTTAAAAATAGGGTTCCACACAATGGCAAGTTATGATCTGATGTCCCTCAAGACGGACATTTTTGAGGAGATATATTCTGCAGCATGTTCTTGATGCAGTAATAATGCATTAGTGGTGGATATTGGACCATCTGCACATCATTTTATTTTGTTAGTTATTATGCAACACTTCTCCATTGCTACTATATTATTTCTGACCGGAGGAGCTATAACACAACAAAAGCAGTGGGGGAGGCATGACCACCAGAAGATTAGTGAAATGAAAAATTATGAGAGTTTAGCAAGAAATTACAGAATATGCACTGACTGGAAATTGAATGCCCCCAAACCTTTGCAGGCGCAAACAGTATTGATAGTAGGGTTGTACATGACCACCACAATAGCATCATGGTCACAAAACATCATGAATGCAAAATAAAAAGGATGTCTGAAGCGGCCCTTTGTATTTTTAACAGGTCTGTTTCAATCATTGCCCTGTCTTTGGAATGTTGTTTTATTCTTTTTTTATTGTTATTATATTTATTGAGAATTTAAAATTACAGAGAGAAAAAAAGGAAAAGAAAAAAAGGTAAACAAGGTAAACAAAAAGAGAAATTAAACAATACAAGTCAATAAAAAGAAAGAAAAAAGAGAAAAAACAAAACACACAATACATCAAAACCAAAAACAAAAATAAACAAAAAATTTAAAAACAAATCCAATATTCCCAAATCTTTATCTTTCGTTAACTTGTTTCATCGACCTCCTCACACCTCCCTTTTTTTGTATTCTAGTTATTAATTATCTCAGCAAATCCTTTCCATCTTTCACTATATTCTGTCATTAAATTACCTTAATTAATTTTAACCTTATCTTACCATAAAAAGCCCTAAAGCTTAAAACTTAAAACTTATTTATACATAATTCCTTTTAACCTTTCTACTAAAGCCAAATAGTTTCATTCCAACATTTTTCTAATACTCATTAATTTTACAATAATTTTCTAAATGAATTTTTAAAACTTTCTTCCAATCTTCATCCATCGTCTCTTCTTCCTGCTCTCGGGTTTTATCAGTCCTTTCTATCCCTTCCATCTAGTCCATCAACCTGGTGACCTTCTATCCGAGGCTCTTAAGTCTTTTCCATGTCCCTTCTGCAGGTCTTCTTCATGTTTATACCTGCACTTTACTTTATCTTCTGCTGATCTTATTCTTAATTTCCTTCCTTTCTCACTGAGGGGTAGATCTCGGGGAGACTCCAACTTGACAATATCTTTATCCCTTCTTGACAAGTCAGCCCATTCTCCATAGTCAGCACTGAGATCCAAAAGATATTTAAAGGCATGCTTCAAAGTCCCTCCAAGGTTAAGGGCCCCCACAACTCCAAACTCCCCCTGGCCCAAAACCAGATCCGAAAAGTCAAAACATCCCTGCATAGGGGGATCTATCCAACTTCCCATCTCCAGACCACACAGTACTCCATCTCTCCAAATCTGACTTTCTCCAGGTTCAGTCGTCAGAAACAACAACTTATGTTCCTGCAAGACCGCAGCTCTCTCCATTTCTATTACTTGAGGTTCAGCAACAACCTCCTCCTTTATCTTCTTCACAACTTGCCCTGTCAAAGCACATTCCTGGGTTGGTTCCTGAGTGGTTTCTATATAGGTATTCACTGTTTGTCCAAAATTGCCAACTGCAACAGTCATCAAATCCATCTTCTCATGTAGCTGTTCCAGTAAAGCGCTTGTCTTGCAAAAAGCAAGCACTAAAGCTTCTTCTGGGCACATTCTTGTTCAAGGTCAGTGTCTAGTTCTCACGATCTTTAATCTCTACAGCTGTAGAATTCCCCAGATCGACTCCAGCAACAGTTTCACAAGCTCCCTCTAGGGGAAACAATTTCTGTTTGTATCCGTCTTTTTAGAAGCAGATCCAGCAACAAAAATCCTTTCATTTTTCAGATATTTTGTTCCTTTTAAGTGCAAAAGGGAACATTGGAATCAATATGTTTCTTTTTTTTAACTAGCTGTCAAAAAACGTTTTATCCACAGTCAATGAACTTCCCCAAAGCGTCTGTCTCTGACACCCTGTTCCCAGGTTCAAGACGGTGGAAATTTATCTTTCTTTACACTCTCTTCTGCAGGTTCCTGCAGAATGTTGTTTTATTCTAATGTGCCTTTCAAATAAAAGGATGTTCAACAGCTCTCCACTACAAGGCTGGCCAAAGTGAGTGTCAAAGCAGGCAGGCATTTTCTATATCAGCAAACATTTTAAATTGCCCAACTAAAAAGGAAAAAAACTGAGTAGGACTTTCTAGAAAAAGCAAGATGGCAGCTGTTCCAATTCTCTTGCCCCCCCAAAATAATTTTACCTCATGCACAAAATATACCTGAAACAAAGCTGATATTGGGGTGGGTGAAGCAGCTAAAAAATAGTCTCTGTCAATTTGGTACAGTCCTGGCTGTTACCTTGCAGTTCCTGTTTATCAGAATCTTAGTTACATTTAAGATTATAAAGTTAATTAAGATTATAAAGTTATCAGGACTGCATTCTACACTCCTCCATTAGTTCTGATATCCCTTCACCAAGTTTTCTTCATAGTTTAAGTTCAGTTTTCCAAGAAATAAAAATATATATAAAAGTATAGTTGTTTGAAATACTGATTTAATATTTATTATAGTTGGAGAGCCAGAATGTGGCAGAATTTTGTATTTTTGTTTTAAATAAAATGTATATTCTAGCCAAGGTAAGTCTTTCATTCATGTTCTAGATATAGGAAACACAAAAAAACAATTTTAGAGTCACCTACAAAAATGGCTGCACATCCTATTTGCTAAAATGCAATTGCTACAATACAGTATAGTTTATTGCTTTTAACTCTCCTGTGGTAAGAGGTGGAGAAACATCAAGTTACCATTTGCCAGTAATAGTTTCTGATTCAGCATATATTCCTCAGTAAAATGGCTACAAGGCTTGACATTTGCTAGGCATGTGTTTCTTCTCTATGGGGTTCTGTCATACAACACTTGGGAAATTTTGTAGCTTAATTTTTAGCTTTATGAATAGTCATGCTGTTTCCCTTTAGCCCTGGACCTTCTTAAGAGCTTGGCACCTTGGCAGCTGTCATTCACAGAAGAAATAGGCCTAGGTAGATGGAGATTACAGTGTGGAGAGGAAACCCCTCACAATGGTTTGGGTCTAAACTTAGCCTATTGTAATTTTATTTTCATTGTTACTACTTGTACACCGCCTTGGAAGGATTTGTATACTAAATGGCAGAATATAACTAAAATAGATAGATGACAGATAGATAGATAGATAGATAGATAGATAGATAGATAGATAGATGCATGCATTCAAGAGTGTGGGTGCAATGCAAAACATATTGAAGGAAGAATTATTATACGGCAAGGACATTATTCATGCAGCTTCAGTTCTTTCATTGTATTTCACAGCAGAATACCAATGTATTGTGGGTTTTTTCAAAAGTTCCAGTTTTACCAGATCCACAGCTGTGCTATGTCCTTTACCTAAAAGAAAATTTGGTACAGC